GTACATACATTGTATATAAATATATACATATATATTCACATAGTTTATTCCAGAGTGTTAAAAGAACGGTATGAGAAGTTTAAAACAGGCGACTGGCAACGCGCCAAGACTGTGCACAACTCTTCTGCCAGGCGCATAAAAACTAGTTTCCTTAGTTGTTTATTTACTTGATTTTATATATATATATATATATATATATATATATATATATATATATATATATATATATATATATATATATATATATATATATGCATTTTTTGTTGTATATTCATATGGGGGCACTTCAACGACTCACGGTCTTTGAGCGCCGTTCACTAGGTCTTAGTTTTAGGTGTTTCAGCAACCAAGGTTAGGTTAGATTAGGTTAGGTTAGGTTAGGTTAGGTTAGGTTAGGTATCGACTCAATTAAAATTTTTCATCCTATGCATCGTATAACTCCTAAATATTACGAACCTAAAAATATCGCTAATCTTCTTCATCCTCCCGATCAACAGGATGGATTACGTGGAGGGGTTGAAGAGTCAGATTAAATTAAAAAATCCCAATAATCCCTATACCTAAAAATGTATGATAAATCACCCCAAATCCTATAGCTTTCTTGGAAAATTTTACGATAAATCCTTCCACCAAATTCTATCTGGGTAAATATATGAGAAATCCCTTAGTTGAATGAGGTAAATATATTGTTCATCCTACACTCCGAAATATGTTAAATCCTACAGTAAAATAGGCTAAGTATGTCACAAATCCTGAGATCATATAACATATAGATAATCCTTGAGTGTAATCAGTTTAATATGTCATTAATCCTACAAACTGAGTCATAAAATATAAACCAAAATCCTATGGTCTGATAAGCTGAAACTCGATGACCAAATTAGGTAAAATCCTACAGCCAAATAAGCTATAACCCTACGGCCAAATAAGTTAAAATCCCCCGGTCTAAATAAGCTAAAATCTTACGTTCTAATAAGGGAAAATTCGACAGGAATCTCAGATAAATAAGGATGTGAGAGAAGGATGTTTGAAATACCAGACGTCTCTATGTATCGTTCCCGTAGGATGAGTCACGAAGGAGCCCGCCGCTATCGGGTGTGTCTGTCGATAGCCGCCGACGATAGCACTTTACCCTGACTACAATATACTGAGAACTGTCGTGTGTGGGGATAGGCTGTAACTGGAAATAGCGCTGGGAGATAAGAGATGATTAGCGCCTATAGATGTTCAGGTTTTAGGTGGAATTAAGCGCTGAGATGTTGTGCGGTGTTTCTTGGAGATTTGTACTGGGAGATTGTTCAAGTTTTTCATGGAGATCAGCGCTGGATGATGCATGATTGTTATCGCTATCGCTACCTGGAAACAGCATTGGGAGATACTGTTTATGTGGAGATTTGCCCTGTCGATGAATGCAGACAGCGCTGAGAGATAGTGTTTGGTGGAGATTAGTACTGGGAGGTGATATTTCTAGAGATCAGCACTGGGAGGAGATGCAATGATTGTTATCGCTATCGCTACATAGAGACAGCGCTGGGAGATGGTTAGGTTTTTCATGTGAATCAGCCCTGGGAGATAAATAGTATTTCTTTTATCGTTATCTTTACGAGGAGATATCATCACTACACTAATTTAAGGAGATATCACTGAGAGAGAATTGATGTTATCGCTGTTTTAACAAAAAGAGGCGGCAGCAACTGGATAATGTTATCTTATATGTTATCACAATTATCAACAATGTTATGACGGGGAGATGTAGGCAGCTATAATTACTTTGTAGAGATAATGGGAAATAAAAATCACCACCACCACCACACGGAAATAGATCAGAGAGATGATTAGTTGATTTTCATGACAATGCTCATTAAAATTAGCGCTTGGAAATAGCCAAATTTATTGCTATTGCTACACAGAAATAACGCCTTAGAGATGGTTAATTTAGTGTCCTGTTTTGTATTTTAGAGACAGCGATAGGAAATATGTAATTTATATCTCCCAGCTTCACAGAGATAACGCTGGGAGATGGATTAAAGTTTTCTCATTGTCGATTTCTTAATTTATTTGTTATGTTGAAGTATGGAAATAGCGCTAGGTGATTATCAAATTACCTGTTGTTGGCGGAAGGAGATAGTGATAGGAAATGGTTAAATTTACTGTTACACCTAAATGGAAATAATGCCAAAAAATTACTTACTTTCTGGGAACCAAGTTACAGAAATAGCGCTGAGAGATTTGTTACACTTTTAACTCATCAGAGAAATACTATACAAAGATTAATTTTTTTGTTTAAGGTACAATATTTCTAAACGGAAATATCACTAGTCTATTACTCAATCCCAAGGAAATATCGCTCAGAGATATAAATAACATCATATCTCTCATACCATTGAAAGAGACACATCGGGTATTCTTGTAATATTTTTATCTCTGAGATTTGAGATATTGCCAAAATAATTTCCATAAAACTCATTCTTAAATTTATCTCTGTTATCGCTAAGAGATGGTTCATATACCATATAATGTAAACAGTGATATTATCTCTCAAGGTCTCTCTATCTCCCTATTTTAGAGAGATAAGATAGAGGTTGGTTTTCTACCCTATTGTAAACATCGATGAAGAGGAGGAGGAAGAGAATGAAGAGGAAATGAAAGAAGAAGAGGAGGAAGAAATGGAAGTAGAGGAGGAGGCCAGTGAAGAGGATGAGTAGGTAGAATAGGATGTGGAAGAGGAGGAGAACAAGAAGAGGAGGAGGAGGGAAAGGAAGAGGAAGGTTAAGGGGGGATATTAGAGAGTTGTTGTAGGTAGATCAGTAATAGGTGTAGGTAGATAGTAGACGGGAGTAGGTGGATTAATTTTCTAACCTTCGATATTCAACTCGTGTAATGTAAAAATATCCTCTCATGATATCATAGGAAGATATCGCTTCGATTTGCCTTTTTTATATAACTTACATGATAACGAATTAGTCATAGCCGGCGTTAGATAGTGCTTAATTAAAAACGATATCTACCAGATCAAGATATCAAAAATTACGATATAAGACGATATATATTAGGTAGGGATAGCGAAAATTGCGATATTTAAATGCAGACGTCAAAAAATATATTTCCATAGTCATTCAATTGAGATATAGCTCTCAGATACATTATTTCCTTAGTTATCGCATTTCTTCTAATTAATCTGTATTTCTTGTTATTGATATCGCTTGGAAATTCTAATAATAATCGTATTTCATTTAAAAAGATATGGACAAATATGATATCGTCTGGATGATATTCCCTTTCCTTATCGTATTTCCTCAGTTAAGATATCAATCATTCTCTAGTTATCATTCATACTGATATCGTTTGAATCTTCTTGCTTTATTCACCTCCAACTCAAAGAGATATTGCCCCCCGAATTAAACCCTCCCTTTCAATATCATACAAACTCCCTTTACGAATTCCCGACCTAATAAAAAAAAAAAACCCTGATTTATTTCCCATTAAGATATATCGCTTTGAAAGGGCATTTGAGACGGTACCATACATATACTGGGAGAGATACCGCAACGAGACAGCCTATTCACACTGCCCATATCCTTCTCACGCTTATACTGTTGGAAATATTATTAAGTATCTGTCTCTCTCTCTCTGTCTTTTTTCTGTCTGTCTGTCTGTTTATATCTCGCTGTCTCCCAAGTCCTTATTACAAGAGATACCGTTCAGGTTTTACTAGATTCCCTTGAGATATCGCAAGAAGAGGACAGCTCATTTACTATATCTATCTATCTGTCAGTCTATTAGTCTATCTACCTGACTGTCAATCTATCTATTCATCAATCTGTCTATTTATCTATCTACCTATTTATCAATCTATCTTTCTACCCATCTATCTCTTTACATATCCATATCCTAGTATGATACACAAACCCAAGCATAAAAGACTTCAGCATCCTAGTAAAAAAATAAAACCCCAGATAGCTCAGGTAATTATAATTAACACATGTAAGTAATTTTTAATGCACCTGGGGGGGTTATAGAGCAATATCTTGATGTGTAAAGTTAATTAACGCTTAAATACTATTACTCTATTGTAAGAATACTAATTAATGAAATGTTTTAGGCCCTTTGTAATTTTTTTTTGGGGGGGGGGAGCTAATAATGATTATAATTTAGTATATTCAGTTTTTAATTTTCTTCTGGTCTTCTAAATATTTTTGTTAAGGAATTGGGTGATTTATTCATTCTAGTATAATTATTTTTCTTGAGTTGATAAATTATTGTTTATTCTGTATTTGTTCTTTATTAATTTTTTTCTTTTGTTTGGGTCAATTATATATTTTATTGTTTTTTCTTAAGTTTTGAAAATATTCCAAATTATAATTTATTTATTTATTTTATTTACTATAAATATTTTAATTATTTTTTTCTCCGTGTTCTGTTAATTTTTTCATTTAAATCTATTCAATTATTTATAATGTTTATTGTTTTGGAAGTTATTAAATGAAAATTATAAGCGATTACTATTTATTATTATATTTATTTTATTCTTTTTCTTGAGGTAGCATCTGTCTGTCTGTCTGTCTGTCTGTCATGGTATTTTTTTTCAAGTGACGACACATTAAAATTTATATATAATGATCACCGTCAACAATGGCCGCGCTCCCCACCCTCCGATGACGTCACAACGCAATCAATAACAACGTCATAACGAGAGACTTATTGTTAAATTTGGTGATAACATCAGTAACTGGCTCTACCAGCCGCGGTGGTTGTGTAGTGAACCCTGTGTGAGGTAGTGTAGGGCCGCCACACCCCCTGACCCTCACACCTCTCACTCACTCACACTTCTCGTTTTGTAATTAGTAAAGGTCATGCCCCCGCTACAGGTGAGTATGTACAGCAGCAGACAGGTGTGTGTCGAGGGACGTGTGTGGGCGGCGCACGCCCCTGGACACATACCCACTGCGTCATATAGAAGGAACAACAGGGTGTGGGCGGTGTAGGTGGGCGTGTCTTACCTGGCTTGGGCACGTTCCTCTTGACCTGCATCCATTTGTAGGTAGGCACAGACTGCTGCGGCTGGTGGTGCGGGAGGGCGTGGGGCGACCCACCCATCATACCGCCTACACCACACGCCTCCCGCACGCCCTCATGGTGGGCGTAGAGACCCATACTCATGTGTCGGTACTGGGCTGCGGGGTCCAGGTAACCTGGGTATCCTCCCGCAGCGGCCGGTGACATGACTCCCGTCTGGCCGCCCACGCCGCCCGCCACGGCGGCGGCCTGGACGGCGGTGCTATAGTCGTAGCTCTGTGACACATGATGCTGGGCGGCCGCCATGCCCCCCGCCGGGTGCCCCGGGTAACACACGCTGCTGTATTCGTCCAGGTTTGTGTAGGAGGAGGGCACGTGTGCATCCTGTAGGCTGGTGTGTTGCGCGCGGTGATGGTCGGTGGGCGTGAGGGCGGGAGGGATGTAGGTCTGGCCCTGCACCGCCTCGTGGGACTGGCACTGGGCGTAGTAGTGCTGTAGCTCGGAGGAATAGGCTTGGCTGTGGTAGCCGGACTCGGCGTTACACACCCCGTACACCATGTTGCTGGTGTTCATGTGGCCGCCGCTCACCTCGCACTGACCCGAGCCAGCCCCGCCGCGCCCCCGAGCCCCCCTCCCGCGCCACGCCACGCCCCGCCCACCGCACGCCCCGCCCACCACACAGGTACACGACACACGCTACACCTCCTCCTAACTCACACTACACACCACGCCAAGTGTTACATGGGCTAAGTAAACACTACACACGACTGTACAGTGTTATGACACACACACACACACACACACACACACACACACACACACACACACACTAAAAGCTAAGAACTTAATATAAGTTTCTGTTCAGTGAGAATGTTTTCGTAACTGTAGATATAACTATAGTGGAGAATATTACCGGGACACAAACGTTTCCAAACATTATATATATTAAACACTATAGTTAAGTTCAGACTCACTTAACATGCTTATTTGTTTGTGGAAAAATTCGTATATGGCCATTATTATTATTATTATTATTATTATTATTATTATTATTATTATTATTATTATTATTATTATTTACTTTAATCAGATACTTTTATTATTCATTTTATCCTATTCTAACCTCTAATTCTATTAAATATTCACGCACATAATTTCTATCTTTAGTTAACTATACATTTACTTAAGAACATGTATAGGCAATCAAGCACAGGTGTAAGTACTAAGACGTGAGCTGCAGGTATTTGATATTGGTTCAGGTGTTTATAAAACTTGTTCCTTGGTTTTCATTTAACTTGGTCATGATATTGATATAAATTACTGGTTAGATTATTGATATAAATTACTGGTATAAATTATTGATATGATTAATGGGAAATTTTTGTACTCTTGATTGGTAAAAAGTTTATATGTGATGTAATTTATATTGTATTTTGCATTTTTTTTGTATTTAAGACCTAATGACCCTGGTAGTTGAAGCACCTAGCAACTAAGACCCAGTGATTGGTGCTTAATAACCCTGGTAGTTGAAGCACCTATCAATTGAGATCTAGTGAACGATATATAACAACCATGACATTTAATACAACAAAAAATATTAGAAAATAAAATATTTATTCTAAAACAGTCGAAAAATTAACACATCTGTGCCTGTATATTGTGATGGTGACAATAGATTTAATTCATCTTCATTAACTAACATACTAGTTTAGCCAAATGTGCCACACTATCTTGTTTAGTTTAGAAAAAAAATATATCGTATTTATTTAGGAATGGAAATAAGAAAATAAGAGTTAGAAGAGGGATAAAAGAGGAGCAAAACAGAAAATTAGGAAAAAAATATAATACAAGAAAAAATAATAAATAAGGAGAAAAAGGAAAGATATTGTAATTATACGAAGAATAATAGGAGAAGAAAGGAAAAAAAAACAAAGACGAAGAAGAAGAAATCGAGAAAAATTAGAATAAAAAGAATAAAAAAAATATACAAAATAATAATAATAAGAAGAAAAAGGAAAGAAGACAGACGTGATATATAAAAGAGTTGTATTGTAATTAACACATAGCGTCTATTGATCTTTTATACTGAAAGAACGAGTACACACCTGCCGCTCGTGTACACACCTGAAGCTCGTGTACACACCTGACCCTCGTGTACACACCTGAAGCTACTGTTCACACCTGAAGCTCATGTACACATCTAAAGTTTCCGTACATACCTGAAGCTACTGTACACATCTGAAGCTCGTGTACACACCTGAAGGTACTGTATATACCTGAAACTAATGTATACCCTTGAAGCCACTGTATACACCTGAAGCTCATGTATACACTTGAAGCTACTATGCACACCTGAAGCTACTGTGCACACCTGAAGCTCTTGTACACATCTGAAGTTACCGTACATAGCTGAAGCTACTGTACACACCTGAAGCTGCTGTGCACACCTGAAGCTCATGTATACACCTGAAGCTACTGTGCACAACTGAAGCTCATGTACACATCTGAAGTTACCGTACATAGCTGAAGCTACTGTACACACCTGAAGCTACTGTGCACACCTGAAGCGCATGTACACACTACCACTCATTCTAAACACCTTTTGCACCTGTAAATAAAGAAGTAATTGTACTCCTCACGCACCTACTGGGTGATGGGGTATGGGGAGAGTGGGATGGGGAGGGGAAGAGGATGGGAGGAGCAGGAGAGTGGGGGAAGGGGAGGAAGAGGGTAAGGGAAGTTGTGGGAATAGGGAGAGAGGAGGAGGAGGGGGTAAGGGATAAATGGGATAAGAGGGAAGGGAGAAAAGGAGAGAGAGAGAGAGAGAGAGAGAGAGAGAGAGAGAGAGAGAGAGCTCTATGTGTTAACTATGTGAGCAGGTTTGTAAACATTGGTAAGGCAAACCCAAAACATCTTACCACACGTCATATAAAGGCTAAAAAAAAAAACCACATACAACTCAAAACATTTCCTTAGATCATAAACATACAGTGCATGCTAATCTACCTATCTACCTGAATACCTAACCTAACCAAACCTAACCTAACCAAACCTATCCTAACCTAACCTAACCTAACCTAACCTAACCAAGAATACAGTACTAAGGACAGCATTGCTCTACTAATATACCCATGTTTGACGTACTAGAGAGTAAATAAATCACCATTGATATCATCATCTAACACACCTGAAGGGATCGATGCTCGTCTTAAAATCTTATTCACTAGATTGAAACATTAATGTGGAGGCCTGAGGGAAGGAAGGAAAGAGGGTAGAGAATGGAGGAAAGAGGGTAGAGAATGGAGGAAAGAGGGTAGAGAATGGAGGGAAGAGGGTAGAGAATGGAGGGAAGAGGGTAGAGAATGGAGGAAAGAGGGTAGAGAATGGAGGGAAGAGGGTAGAGAATGGAGGAAAGAGGTAGAGAATGGGGAATAGTGAATGGAGGAAAGAGGGGAGAATGGAGGAAAGAGGGTAGTGAATGGAGGAAAGAGGGTAGAGAATGGGGGAAGAGGGTAGAGAATGGGGGGGAAGAGGGTAGAGAATGGAGGAAAGAGGGTAGAGAATGGAGGAAAGAGGGTAGTGAATGGAGGAAAGAGGGTAGAGAATGGGGGGAAGAGGGTAGAGAATGGAGGAAAGAGGGTAGAGAATGGAGGAAAGAGGGTAGAGAATGGGGGGAAGGGGGTAGAGAATGGAGGAAAGAGGGTAGAGAATGGAGGGAAGAGGGTAGGAAAGGGAGGAGATAGAGTAGGGGAGGGAGAACAGAGAGTATGGGGAAAGAAGGCTTGAGGGTTGGTAGGAAATAAAGAGAGTAGGAAAGGGTGGATAAGAGGATAAGGAAGAGAAGAAAGAGGGTTAGGTAGACAGGAAAGAAGGTAGTGAAGGGTTCCTCCCTTCCCCAGAGGATATAGGGGAGGGAGCAAACTACAGCAACAAAATAGAAAACAAAAAAAAATAATAATGAGAGTAACAAGATATCCAGTGTAATGATAACTGTGTGTGTGTGTGTGTGTGTGTGTGTGTGTGTGTGTGTGTGTGTGTGTGTGTGTGTGTGTGTGTGTGTGTGTGTGTGTGTGTGTGTGTGTGTGTGTGTGTGTGTGTGTGTGTGTGTGTGTGTGTGTGTGTGTGTGTGTGTGGGTGTGTGTGTGTGTGTGGCAACCCACGGTATCCGTCTTCCCCCACCACTTAAGGAATACATTACTACGATAACAAGTGTCCATTCGAGGCAGATGTGGAGTGGGTAGGAAGTGAAAACCCCTCCCTCTCCCTACTCCCACCCACTCCCCCTCTCCCCTCTTCAGCCACGTGGTCCTGACGTTCATTTTGCCAATTTTAGAAGAGAAATAATTCCTTAATAATAATAATAATAAACGTAAAAATTGGTTTAGAAATTAAATTAATCTTAATTTTACACAAGACTGATTATACATTGAAATTTCATATGAATTTGAGGTACGTTTACCTGTATCTCATCTTTTATAACAACAGTAACCATAAAATCAATTCTAATTACACATCCTCAATTTACCTGTCCTGAAAAATTTTCTAGAATACATTAAAACAATCTTACCTTTCCTGTTGAATTATAATAATAAGTTTTACCCACTAAGGAGTAATTTACCTTTGTGGATATAGTATCATATTATTTGCTAATTGGACTTCTGGTATTACGTTATATGAGAAATTGCAGTGATTAGAGTATTTGGGTGTCTGTCTGTCTGTATTTACTATGTTACAGGGACGCTGGGAGTTACAGGTCACTTTAACCTGTCTACACTAAAAGGGATGATGATTTAATTTCGTGATGTTATTTTTTTCTGTTAATTTTTTATTTAAAAGGTATTTTAGGGTTTCAGATTAATGTCGGGATGGGTTGTGTGGTCTGGGAGGTTTAGGGTATGTGATAATAATAATAATAATAATAATAATAATAATAATAATAATAATAATAATAATAATAATCCTCTGTTCTTATACATGAACTTTAACATTATGTGTTTAGTATGCCACATGTACTTGACCTTTAGATATATTGTAAGTAAACTCTTCCTTATTTTACAATATTTGTTATGTTATTATTTGTGTATTATCGAACAAATAATTTTTTGGGGGGAATGTCTTAACTAAGTCTATTTTAAAACTATAATATCTGGTCTTTGCTCAGAAGTTTCATATTATTATTATTATTATTATTATTATTATTATTATTATTATTATTATTATTATTATTATTATTATTGTTGTTATTATTATTATTATTATTATTATTATTATTATTATTATTATTATTATTATTATTATTATTATTTTTGTTATTGTTATTGTTATTATTATTATTATTATTATTATTATTATTATTATTATTATTATTATTAGTAGTAGTAGTAGTAGTAGTAGTGGTAGTGGTAGTAGTAGTATTGTTATCGCAGTTACAAACCTTTTTATGATACAGTCCTACAAAGGTGAGCTTCACTAAAAATAACTATTTCTAAATGACATCCAAATGTGTCTCTAAAACACATACACACTACATTCCATCTTTTCTTGGAAATCTTGTGAAAGTTTTGTATAATAACAGCAACATC